CAAATAAAAAGTGCCCTAAATGTATTTTTAAAAATCTGGTGATCTGAGAACTTGGCTTAGAGTTTTTAAATGGGTGGGACTGGCTATACTAAGGTGAGCGTGGTGAACTACAATTTCAGATGGACAAATGAGGCAGAACATTTATATCATAACCATAAAATGATGTCCTTTATTAGAATTACAATTTACTTTTTCCTTCTTGTTTACAAAAAATGGTAATAATGATTTTGTGTAATGTTAGCAGCGGTCAGAGCAATGCTTATTCCGTCTTAGGAAGAGGAAAATCTGACTTTGCAGTTTCTTTGCATGTAAAACTGTTATTTGGTTCCTGTGACATTGGTCGTTATATCTGTAATATGTATTTGTAGTTGTTTAAAGACCTGAGCAGTTATGGAATAAGTTCTGACATGAGACAGTCAGGAGCCCTGTGGGGTTTCATTATGTTATTGATCAAAAAACCCACCGCTACACACTGAAGATAAAGGAAAGAATTGAAAAATACAATACTGTCGTCTGACGGAGACACTGAGCACTGGATACATGTGGCTTGAGAAACTGGATGCATCTTCCTTTTAATCTGTATAAATAATTTTACATTTGTTTGGAAAAAGGAGCCTTTGCTTGTTTTTTTCTCCAGATAATCTCTGTTTTTGTTTGAAAAAGGTTATTGATTGGATTGTTAACTTAAATGGTCTGTGGTGGGTGTTGCAGAGCACATGGCTGCAATTAATCTTGCAGTGCAGAATCCATTATTGAAGAAGCACTAATGAGCCGTTCTAAGGCCTTCCCTGGTCACAGAACGCCTGGGTGCAGCAGATTGCTCCTGCCCTTTAATGTCGTTTTTGGTCTTTAGTGCTACACAGCCAGTGTAAGCAGAATAGCTTTTTAGCTTTTTTTTTTAGGGTATTTATGTTAAAATTGTCCTTACTGACAGCCTGCAATTGTACTGGGTGCAAAAGTCTAGAAGCGGCCAGTGAAATGATTCCCTCTCAGCTCCTCAGATCAAATGTGTCTGCTGGACATAGTGTACAATTAAAGGCAGTGGCATGTGAAACATGGATGTCACTATAAAATATAGTCTCAGTCGCAGGGTTCAGATCCAGACTAGAGTTTTGACAAAGATGGGGGAATGTTCAGGGGTGATCTGTGTTTTAAAATGTGGGTTTAAGACAAAGGGACGAGCTGTTGGAAACCTTCTCAGTGCAAGTTTTTTTTGTCTGTGTTGTTTATAGCTATTGTGGCAGAGCAGAAGTTTAGATAGAGTAGTTACAGTGGATTAGAAACTGTTGATGTTAACATACCACCTTCTCCTTCAACAGAACTGCTCTCTGGGTGTATTTTGGAGTTCTGGCGATTAACTTGAGTGACACCATAAATATGTGCTACTTCTTACTCCTGCTAGATCTGCAGAGCTAATACAGACATGTGAGAGTGATCTGGAGTTTGCCAGGGCTGAGGTACCACCTGAATAATTAGCTGAGTTCCAGCTGCAGACCCTTTACTACACCCCTTAATTATAGTAAATACAGTTTATCACAAGATTAGAGAAGTGAGACTATTTCCTGATCTTGACCACATAACTGATGAAATTAAGCAGCAAGAAAATCTTTCCAGCTCTCTGGTTCGTGTGCTACCGCAGAGTCTGTAACTTGAACCATATTCTGGAGTGCTTTTTGTGTAAAGCAAAAGTATTTGTAAGGTGAACTACCTTTTTTTTTTTTTTAAATGATTTTGAATCTACCAACAGTGGCTTGCTATATGTAGCTACAGGACTTCCTCTGTGAGGTATTCTGCCACAAAAGGAATCCCAAGAAATGCTTTGATCTGGAGCGGGGATGGTGTTCAGTAACACAGCTCCAGCAAGTCTTGGTCCTGTGAATTTTCTCATAGGTCGTGAAAAACAGAGTTTTGAACCACAGTGGCAGGAAAACAGAGAGATCATGATGAAAGAGATCAGGGAGCGTAGGAGAGAGGATTTTAATTTTCTGAGTATCTACTGACATGCTTGTGGTATGCTACAGTGCCTCATCTTGCTGCTGGCATAAATAAAAATAGTCTTTCCAACGACATTAGATTAGGGTCATGATACCACAAGGGAGGTTGTTTAATGTGAAGGAAGGTCTGACTTGGCGGCTAAAGAAAGACATATCCATGAGGCATTCTTTTTTTTCCTTTAGACATGTAATAAGCCCTGGGTTAACAGAATAATCTGTGGCTACGTAGACATGACTGTGGGCATTTGTTGGCCTCCTTCATAGTCACAATGTTTGGAGAGAGAGCCTGATAGAGTGAATAAATCGATATTTTCTGCAAAAGATTCTTGCGTTTCTGCTAAAAAGAAGTCACAGTGGCCCTCTACTATTGTTATTTTCCAAGAGATCCTTGATCCACATCAGCCCATTTCTTTTAGGCTTGTGGTGGGTGTAGTTCTTGAAAAGGGCTCTAAAATATGGTATGGTTCACCTCAAGGATGGGGCAGTATCAGCATGAGATGCAACGCAGAAAACAAAGGGTGCAAAGGTATTTTTGGGGGAAGGGAGGAACTGAGCAGTCAAGAGTGATAGCTGGAAGAGAGCGGGGATGACAAGATAAGGGACAGGGATAAGGCAGTAAACAAAATCCTGAACTTACTGTGGTTCAAGAAAGAGATTCTCTAGGTGGGGTCTCCGCAAGATGCAACGTGCATGTGGGCGTGTGTGTGTGTGCAAGCAAGCAAGCCTGTGCATATGGGTATGCATTTAGCCTTGATTTATTTTTTGTAAGTTTGATTCCATTCTTTCTGTTTCTTTACAACTGTGACTGAAGCTATTTAATTCTCTGGTTAACTCACGTCCCTGTATGAGCTGTTTCCTTTGACGTATTCCAGCACTGCACAACCTTTTTGGAAGCTGAGTTGTGGCCTTTGGGATGACTTCCTCCCTGATATGTAGTGTGGCACATTTGTGCTGTTTACTGGTGTTTGGAATGAGGTTTTGCATTTACTGTAAATCAGCCCTAGAGAATCATTTCAGTGTCATGTTGGGTTTTGCCAGTTTGGTAGTACCAGAAAATGTATGAGGTCCTCTCAGCAAGAAAAGGTCTCACTTCACAAAATCTGCTGGGCAGTTGAGATTTAAAGGTCTCCAGAACTTTAGTTTGGCTTTGGTCCACTGTGAATCTCAGTAAAACCTGGTTCTCATTTTGTGCTGACGTTTCAAGGGGTCCAAAAACTAGTGATCTTCTTAGTCAATCTGAGCTCATCAATACAGTCAAAACATTTCTTTATTCAAAGGCTTATGAGATTGATATTAACAGTGTCATCGATCCCTCCTTCCTTAAATATCTCCTTTATTTTCTATTCAGTTCCCTTAATAACTTATGTACACACATTCCTTTGTTGGATGGGCTTAGTTTTCATATCACTACCATGCGAATGTAACCAGAGAACCAGAATCCTTATTACGCTCTTTGGTGACAGCGTGAGCACTTAAAGGAAAGATATTCCTTACAGTATTATTGCGTTACACAGCAATTCTGAGCAACTGTTTGCTTCTCTAACTAGAAAAAGTAGAAGCTCCTATATATTGTAGGGTGCTGATGGGGTAATACAGCACAGCAAAACACAGCTGACAGGCGTGGTAATGAAGAGAGCACAGCTCTGCCCGCATCTACTGTAACCATGCCTTTCCTTCTTGCTGGAGAAACAGCTTTTCATTCTCTGCTCCAGCCTTCCGAAAAAGGTGCTTATCCCAGGGGAGGTAGAGAAGGTTTTTCTTCTTGTCTAAGAGCAAGAAGTCTGTTAGAGTCTGTTAGAGCGACAAGAAGTCTGGGCGTTTGATGGTGTAAGTTTCTAGAATGAGAATTCAATAGCGTGGGATGCGCGTACCTGTATTTGAGGTTTTCAATGCGTATGGGTGAGCCGCTGTATATCCTTGTCCCCTCTTAGACTCTGCACGCTCTGAATGCTGATGTGTGTCAGAGAGGAGAGCTAAATAGGGGCTTTCCAAGAAGGAAAGCAGGAGCTTACTGCAGGTAAGCAGTAAGACTTAAAGACTGCCTCAGCCTGATAGGGGTGATTTGGGAGTACAGTACTTTATTTCAGCGGTGTATTTTTCTTGTTTTGTTTTGCAGAAGGAACACTGATCCTACCTTTGGTCTGTTTGTTTGTTTGTATTTTCCCCTCCAGAAAGCCCATTGCTGAACCTTCTACTGTGATACCGCTGTTTTGCAAAGCTGGAGTCGACACGCATGTAGGGGCGGGGGTTGTAACTCTGGCAATTTGTCCTTCCCGATTAGATGTGACTGTTCTGCTAGCTTTCCCTTCTTTATTCCTTTCATTTAGTTTGTTATGGGAGTTGGCTTGGGGTTTTTTTCCTTTTGATTTCTTGTTTTGATCCTGGAAGGTTAGCTGTGCAATTTGGTTTCTTCTGTGCCAACCAACTTTAGTGGCAGAGCTCTTAAAAAAAAGAGTAAAAGCAGTATTTCTCCATCCTGTCTCGCCTCTTCTCTGTACGCTACTGCTTCCATTTAAGCAAAGTTTACAGAACTGTTCCACCCGTTTGGACACCAGGAAGGGAAGCTCTGAAGTGGAGAATAACCTCATTTCAACCAGGTCCTTCAGTCAGGTCGAATCAACGCCAATTGAAACTGTAGTCCAATTTCTATTAAAATGGATGGGCTCTCTCTGAAATTGGGTTTGTGTCTGATTTCACCCTTTCTCTTATTTTCTTTCAAAAAGAGAGAGGAAAAAAAAGAAAAAACAAACCCAAAACCAAACCATTTTTAAGAGCTCTGAATAAAATCGCTTTGCTAATGGGGGAATGGGTGGGGATGACTCTGATTTTCTCTTGTGCCCGGCAGCGAAAAGGTTAATGCCTGCTTTCCTCTTTGGTATCTGTTAGTCGCAGCCCATGTTGTGATCAGTCCATGTCCATGTGCGTTCTGTTCCCAAATTTAATACCAGTTAATTAACAATAACTAAATGAGCATTAACAATGACAGTTGTTTCCAATCTTCCTCAGGACACCCGACCTGCCTGCAGTTCACCACAAACATGACTGAGGCTGTCAAAACCTATCAGTGGCAGTGCATTGAGTGCAAATCCTGCAGCCTTTGTGGGACCTCTGAGAACGATGTGAGTTTATTTACCTTTTCATACAAACAAATGTCAGTGCAAGCTACTGTTATGCCTGCTCTTGAGAAGCACTGGCAATGGCACAGGTCACCACCTTATTGCTGTTTCCATACGTTTCCTGGGAAGAGCCACTTCTGCGAATAGAGAGGTACTCCTCCTCAGTGACCCAGTCAGCTGCTGGTCTTTGCTTAAATTACCACGGGTATCATATAGGGCTGCTTAAGATGATGATACCTGTGGTTTGGATGCTTGTTCAATAGAAACTGGTTGGAGGCCATAAGCTCATGTTGCAGAATGCAGCAGAAGAGCAATATTTTCAATATTATAAACAGAAGTAGATTTGAATGGGTGATAGCCCCACAGATGACGGGTATGTCTCTTCTGCCCCTGGTTTTACTTAGTTCCTTGGCAGGATTTTTAATCTTAATTATAAGGCTTGAGAATCATGAAAACACTTGGATTGGGAGGACTAAGCCTCTCTCTCATCACCTCATCCCTTATTTGAGCAATTTCCAAGCTGTGATCCAGAGCCTGCAGCTGAACAGTATCCTCTTTGTGCTCTTTTCAGTTAAAATCTGATGATAAGGGTGTTTAATAGTCTGAGAGAAACTTTGAAAATTAACAGTGGCTGAAGAAGTTTAGAGGTGATCAGTTTAGTCCGCACTCCCTATAGCACAATAAATTTGAAGCACAATTTTTTGTTTTGCTGTATTATTAAATGAGGAGAACTGAAAGCAGGGAACTGTTCTGTGTTAGGAGCAGGGGATTTTTTATTTTTTTTCCTGACTGTATGAAAGAGCTGCAGACCACATGGTGGGCAAAAGTCATTTCCATCTGTTTTGCAGAGAGTTCCCTACTCAGCTGAGTTTTGGAGAACTGGCTAAGTCCAGGCTTTTAATGAGAAAGGGGTCCCAAGGAAAGAGTGAGACCCAAATGCGGTCCCATTGGAGCCAAGGAAAGTGGGGATGTTGCTTCTGCTGTCTTGGTACAGCATATCCCCTGCCTAGCAGCTTTTGCTCCTGCATCAAGAGGCCACCTTGGAGATGCAGTTCTCCAGCCCTGGGAGAGATCTTCCAGTTAGAAATTAAACTCTTTTTGTGATAAAAAGGGCTCTCTGCAGCCTGTCAGAACTGTGGTGGTTGATTCTGGATGCACAGATGTGATCTGTGTAGCCTTTTATGTTCCCAATAGCTTCTTTGTTGCATCTCTGTGTTCGTAACTGAGCATCGCTGTTAACCATGCTTATGTTTTCACCTTACCAGTAGACTAATTTACATCGTTTTCTCTCCCTCTTCCTCTCCCTCTCTCTTCTCCTTTCCCCACTGTCTCCCCAATGACCCTGCATTAGGACCAGCTGCTCTTCTGTGATGACTGTGATCGTGGCTATCACATGTATTGCTTGAATCCACCAGTCTTTGAGCCCCCAGAAGGTAACATACGTTAAAGTCTGCTTTGAAAATCACAATAAAATTCCTTGTGGGGAAGGGAAGAATTTCAGAAAGGTGGCTTGGGCCGAGCAGAATTAATGAAGCAGGATTCTCAAAGCTGAGGCAGGTAGCACTGGAAGGAAAGAAAATCCATAGATATAGATGTCTACCGCTATGTGAGGTTTCCTATGCAATCTCGCCTGACCTCTGCCTCTTCTTCAAGAACTTGGCTCTTCTGAAGGTCATGGGTACTTTCTAGTGTCCTAGATGGAATTGAACATTTCAGTTTAGGCAGCTGAATTGAGCTCCTATGAACTGTGGCTTCTGACTTCCTAAGAGTCAGATGAAAGTCTCAGACAGGAAGGTCCCATCTGCAATGGCTGAGAGACTGTTGTCAGGCGACTGGATTAAGAGAAATAGCGTTCGTTGTTCTCTGGCCTATCTGTACGAGGGAAGGGCGAGAGTTGTACAGTCTTTGTTATGTTTGGTACACAGTTATATTCCTTACAGGGGATTCCTTTTGAAAATATTACTCCTGGCTGTTGTTTGCCCCTTGGTTTTGGAGCAGAGGAACTGATGCCTTACAATTATTGGTTCTGTGACTGAAATCTGCAGAGCAGTAGAATTAGAGAAAGAGACACCTGAGTGGGAATGACTGCAGTTTACATGAGGGGTGAGACAAGAATAATTACAAATCAATCAAGCATGCTGGAGCTAAATGTTTTTAACTTTGATAAAGAGGAAGCTAAATTAGGAGGGGAAGATTTTGAAATGGCACTAGTGGTTCACTAAAGTTTCTGTTTAGCTGGGAAATGGTGTATTAAAAGTGTCAAAATACAAAACACCTAGTGGAGATGCATATCCCAGCTGTGTTGTGGCTTGTGTAGAGAGCCTATGACCACAGCATCAGGGGAAGAGAGCCTGCTTCAGAAACAGACTGGCAATTCCAGTGTTAGGAATATTGGATATCCTACTCAAGCACATAAACTCTGAGTATTTGGATTTGGTGTTGTATATATAAGGATTTCTTCGTTCACAGGGAGCTGGAGTTGTCATTTGTGCCGGGAGCTGCTCCGAGAGAGAGCGTCAGCTTATGGCTTCCAGGCCTGAGGAGCTGCAGCAACCAAGAAACACTTTGCTCCTGGTGTTGTTGTACCAGCACACAATTCCCATCTGGAACACAAAGACACAATCCACAACAAAGTGAATGGACACTCAAATAGATGAAGAGGTAGCTATGGCGTTCACTGTCAGAGAGTAGCTGTCACTCATGCAGTACCTCCTGGGCTCTACTAGAAGGATCATATACTTTCCTGAGGCTCCAGATGAAATCTCTTCACTGCTCTGCATGGTTGCTGCTTACCGTTACGGGCTCACATGCATTACAGAAGGGGGAGGGTTGCTCTATCGACATGGAGATGTCAAATTTGTGTGGCCTTGTGCTTTCTGTTTAGTCTTTTTTTAAGAAGAAATAGTAACATATCTCCCAAGCAATTATTTTGTGAGTGGTTTTGCTGGGAGCAGTACTGGTTATTACTCTTCGTAGGCTTGACTGGAAATCTCTTTACTGCAACCACTTTGTCTTCGTAGAGGGGCATTGAGAGTTGCATTAGTTCAATACTTCCCAGGTCGTGAAAAACACATTGTCACTGAGAAAAGCACAGATCAAAAAAATTTTGGGTGACGCTTTCTCCCTAGGATCAAATGCTTTGCTTTTGCAGATTTTTAGAAGTCTGGTTTTAGTGTCTCTGAAGGAAGAAGAGTAGCCATTATGTACGCAGGCAGATGCTTAGAAAGTTCTACCATATTTAGTATTTCAGGATGTCTGGCATGCTGTCCCACTGCAGTTCAGTTCAGACTCATCTTTTTTTTTTAATTTAAAAAGTTGCAAATGGCTATGTAAATAAATGACATGCTGTTTAGCTTGTAAAACTGAACAAAAGAAAAATGTTTTAAGGTGATCATACACAGGAAAAGCGTGAGTTTTCTGAACAACCTAAAATAACCTAAAAAATGAACAACATGGATTTAGGGTCAAATGAAGCACTTCTGATTTGCTTTTTCACATTTCTAAATTAAAATGTTCTGCAATTGAAAGTTGAAATTTTTATTTCAGAAGTTGTCTAATCAGGACTTCCAGTATGTCCAGAGTCTCACCATTTTTTATTTTGTATGCTCAAAGTAGTTATCGAAATTAGTTGAATTTGCAACTAGTTTTGCCTCCAGTAGTTTGCCTACAACAGTGTTTTTTGGCAAGCACGTGTAATAATTTGCTAAAAAGCCTCCCCTAGCTCTAGAGAAGGGAACAATTCACTGAACCTAATATGAGAAGAAAGATTTTAGTAGTTATTTTAAAATTTAAATAGAAATAGCTGTACTTTGTTTAAACAAACTTCTACTGTAGAGCACATGCAAACTAAAAGGCATTTAGCTAGTGGCTCACAACCAAGGTGGAAACTTGATGAATGTTGTTCCACTCTTCAAGCCATGTGAAATGGAGAAACATTAAGCAAGACCATCAAAGGAAGAAATATTTTTACAGTTGAGATCCTTTCAGTAATTTAAGACGTCACTAGAAGGACAGTGAGGACATTAAAAAAATCATATGGAGTATATCTTTAAGGTTAAAAACATGCCACTCCCCAAAATAGGCCCAGAATTATCATTTTTGGGGGTGTGATGTATATCACTTTTTATGCATAGATTTAAGTGGAATTATAATATAAATTTATGAGGGTCTCAAGCAGCATGTGACTTGGGTTGCTTGTAGAAGCAGGTAAGGACACTGAAGATTATATCTGGGATATTTATATTAATTGAAATGTTTCTGCAAAATTACCTGTCCCTAAACACTTGAAAGGACATTGTGAAAGTGAATTAATTTTTTCTCCTTCTCCTGCTAATTACACTTAGTTAGGATGAACTGTACTGCCCTAACGCACTTTTCCTCATTATTTAGCTAGCTTCTTCACCTTTTGCATTCTGTTCAGCTTGCACACTGAAGGTAGCCATGTCAGCTTTAGGATTCTCCCATGTACCATCACAGTGTGTTCTCAGACTGCAGCGCAAGTATTTTAATCCATTAGAAAAAGGCTTTACGAAGGTTTAGAAACTATTTATTCCAGCTGTATTGGACCAAATCTCCCTGAGCACAGCTGCACTGGCTAGCTGTGAAATTTATTCAACACGTTAGACTTTCTGTGTGACAGCCCTCCCAGGCTGGCCAGGAGTACCAAGAAATCTCGGTGTCAAGCACTGGGAGGGTGAAACAGGAACCTGTGCTCTGCTGCGGACCGGCTTTAGGTGCTGTGTGCCTGGAAAGTGAGTGTTTTGGCAAAAAGAGATAGGAACTGAGAAATGAAGGTACTGAAGGAAAATGTGGTGGTGCCAGCGATGGGAGCAGCAGAGGCAAGTTAGCGCAAAGGCTCGTGTTCAGCTAACAAAACAATTGGGCTTAGTGAGCTCCATCATAGAAATAAATAGCCATCACCTTCAAATTTGCTGGTACTTGCACTGGCTTTGGGAGAGGAGTAGGAGTGCTTGAGACAAATAATGACATAAATGCATACTGTTTCAGTCTGTGTATTATGGAGAAACAGTGGCTAATCACATCCTAAGTCTCTGGTAGCCTCTTGCAGGCTTTTGGTGGGACTGGAAAGGATATTAAGTCAGTGCTCTCTGTCCCTGTGACTAAGACATTGCTAAATGAGCTCTATTCTGCATGAACACCTACTTTCCTATTTTGTGGTTTTGATCCATATTGCTGACTGTTTTCTCCTCCCACAACCATTCTGCCGTGAACAATATCTTTCACATTAGGAAATACTCCTTAATGGCATTGCTGAAGTTTCATTGCTAATGAGGTGTGATGGAAGAATAGATTGCTAGATCTTTAATGGCAAAATATTGTTTGCCATATGAGTTTAATAGGATACTTGTTTGTGATGGTCCAGTTGCATTTCATTCTCTTCAGCTTTGTGCTGTGTTGCTGTGTAACCAGGAAGTTTCAGGTGACTTCTAGCAGCAGATAAGGTCCCAGTTCTCTCATGCCGAGAACTTCCTCCAGCTACAACCTCCCTTCTTCACAGACTAAGTCTTAGATAAGAAGTTGGGACATTCCTCTTAGTGACATTTTCAGTATGCCTTTAGAGCTGTATGTCTTGATGCACTTTGGAATTAATTGATCCACCAAGCAAACAGTGCTGCACCCAATATTACTGGGATATGGAAAGGTTACAGCACGGTCATGGGAGTGAGGAAGAGGAGATTAGAAACTTTGAGAACGTATTCCCTGTCATCTGGGTACACCCTTGGGGACACCTTTCTGCCTAACCATGGGTGTAAACTACTACATCCACTATTAGGCAAATTTTGAAACAGCATATAACTGTGATCTGGTGTGGGCAGCAAACATTCTGAGGACTCTGACTTTATATGCTTCTCTTTCTTTCTGTGGCAGGACGTACTATTTTGCACTTTCATTAAATGTCTCTTGCTCAAAGCTCAGCACAGTGCATGGAGTGCTTCATGGGAGTATTGTTCCTGTCAGCCTTTAAAAAGGAAATTCATATATTAAAAAGTAAATGTTTGTCATATGGTGGGTAGGGAAAAAGGGGGAAGTTTTTACTGAGAACTAGCAAAGTCAAGTGGGTAGTGAAAGTTGTTAGACAAAGACAGCTTAGATTTGCATTTAATCCAGCAACCTGAACTGAGACAGAATTCAAGGTGTTGTGCCTTCTCCACTGCTCTGGGAACATGTATTTATTTTGTTTTGTTTTGTTGTCTTCACTTGTTTGGTTTTTTACCGGTGATGTACTCGGTAAAGTGTGTCTCTCCACCTGCTCTCCTCTGTGGTGGAATTAACGCTCCATGCATGAGCTTGTTGGCAGCCCTTGAGGTGATGAAACACTGACATCTTTCAGAAGTCATCTGTGTAGGCAAGGCAAGCAATATTTTAACACAAATCAGAGCAAACTACCAAGGGAGATGGTAGATTCCGCATCCCCTGAAGTCTTCAAATCAAGAATGGGCAGCTTCCCAGAAGGTGTACTTTTGTTAAACATAATTTTAGTTAAACATAGGAATGTCTGACTGAAAACAACTTACATTATACAGGAAGTTAGACTAGATGATGTAATTGTTCTTCCTGTTCTAATTATAAAAACAGATGTTAACCAGTGGAGGAGGTGTATTTCAATACAGGCTGTGTCTAGATAATGGCCTTAAACATATTCATGAAATCTTTCTAATTTTTAACCCATTTTGTACAACCTGAAAAAGGTCAGTTACAGAAATTCACCTCTACTTATGTAGTAGAGGTGCTTTATCTCCTTTGTGACCATGATGGCAGCTATACTGGTGTTAGCTATCTCCGTTTCTTCCAGAGAACAAACAATTCAGACTGCACTGAATGAAACCATGGTTTGGATCTAGCTTTGCCTCCATAGTATTTCTGTGCTGTATTGTCTAGTTTTCTGCCTCGTAGTTAAAAGACTGGCTAGGGAGAGAAGTTACTGCAGATCCGCTGTGTCAGCCTTGGAAACCAGACAGGTAGTGAAATGGTTGCAAAAAGGGAGTGCATCCAGGCTGTACTGCTAAGGTGGGTGTGCCCATTTTACTGCCACAAAAAGAACTTTTTCTTTAGCTCTGAAAAGCTAATACCTTTAAGGAACTTAGTGTGGCTCCCTTTCTGCTTCTAACCAGTACTTCCTAAAACTTGACTTTGAGAACCGAGGCTGAGTTTGCAGCGTTTGGGTATAACATACCTTAGACTGGTTCTTGAGCTAGAAAAGCCACTGTTAAGTGTTCCTTTGAAGCAAGCATTACTCTAAATATTTTTAAATTGTTATTTCTTACCTTTCCTTGAAAGGGTTAGGTCTTACTCAAAGGAAGAATCTCCTGCACAATACAATATTATGGGGCTGTTGCATGTTCTTTACACCTATAGCCTGTGTTTTGACAGTGGTCATTTGAGAGGTGAGAAGTGGATGGGTGTAGAAAGGAATATTAATTAAGCTTGTCACTGCCAGAGGGCTAGTGTGTATTGTGTGCAGGGAAATTCCAGGTAGAGCTGGGCATGGTTTTACTGCATGTAATAAATTTAATTCAAAAAAATGTGCTTTTAAGGGAACCACAGTTATTCACAAATCCATATTGGATCTGACAAATTATTTCATCCAAAAAATATAAGGGAAATATCAGAAAAGTTGAAAGTGTTTGCTTCAGGGCTTTTTAAAATAAAGCATTTCAACATTGAATTTCAAAGTTAATTCAATTTTAAAATGAAAGAATTAAAGAACCTCCAATTGAAATGAAACATTTAATTTGGGGGGTCAAAGAGTGTTTAAGGTCTGTCTGAAAAGAAATTTTCCAAATTTTCCAATTTAGTGCCAAAAGTTGATTATTCAACTCTAACATTGGGTGTCCAGCTAATTCAGTTCCAGCATGTCAGTATCTTACATGATAGAAAATATTACGGTATCTATCTAAAATGAAGAAGAACTGAAATTATCTCAAAAAGTTAGCAGCCATGGAGGAATAGCAATCATTTAGGGATGACGTGAGTGTATTCAGTTAAAAGTAAAAAAAGACGAATAAAACACAGAAAAATGTAATCTCGATGCTAGAAGCATTTCCTTATAGTGAGTCCTCTCTAATTTATTAAACTTATTTGTCTGTCTGTCTATCTAATAAGTTGGCAGTGACAGCTGTTAGTCTATAAAACTATCTTCCAGAGCAGAAGTGAGAGATGCTTCATGTTTTCCAGATATAAAGAACTGGACAAAGCAACAGAGAATATATTAGGAACAATTTGGCACCAGGCTGGGAGGACAGAAAAAGTCAGAGTGATGGAGAAGAAAATCACAAGAAGGATTGTGTAGTCAATTTTGTTAGGGGAGAAAGGTGGATAGCGCAGATGAAATACTTCTCTGAAATGGTAACAGTTGATCAGTTCTATATTTTGTGAAAATAGGTTCTGTGGAGAGGAGAAGGCAGACTGGACAGGTCCCACTATTTGGTGAGCTCCCCTTTTCTGTTTATTGTATCCACCTGTAGCTTCTCACCATAGACATTGAACATGGTGCTTTGGTGCAGGCACTTTCCTTGGGGTATGAGTTTGTGCAGAGTGGAAAAGAATGAGTCAGAACCT